GACTTGATTATCGACTCTTTGAATCGCTCCCCGTGCAAATTAATGCCATTGAAACAAGCTTCCTGTGTTCAACTTTGATACCCGAACCTTAAGTGTAAAATCTATTTTTCCTCTACGGTGTCGCAAACTTCATGATTTTTTCTGTTAACTTGTACTGTTTCTTCGCTAGATGAAATCTGCTTTGAAACCAAATTCGACAGGATTAAATTACTGCGACAATTTTTTTTATTTTTGGTTCGGCTAGCTGGGGAGCTAGGAAAAGTAAAGGAGAGGGAGAACGTTTCCGGGACCTGCTAGTGGACTCATCAGTAAGGCGTTCTGGCAGACCCTTGCCTTAGACGCGGGGATGTAAGGAAGGGATGGACAGGAACTACATATATGAATAGGAAGGCTCTTTGAGTACTAGCGAGAAAGTCTAGGTCTCGATTCTATGCACCGTCTAGTGGCGATGAGCATGGGAGTGAAACCGCTAATATTTATAGTCGCTGAGGGATTATTAGCAACTTAGAAGAAGTTTACAAGTTTTCAGGTTTAGCTCTTTAAGACACATTTAGACTCTGCAAGGTAACTGTCTTTAATTGCAGCAAGTTTTAGGTCGATTTCAGGTTGCTCTTCAGGGATGATCTTACATTATACTCTGTAGGCTACAATTGTAAAACAAAGTTCAAATGTCATGCATATTTTGTATTCGATCTTCGAATACGAGAATTAGACTCAGTTTCAAAATTCAAGCGAAAAATGTAACAGTGAAAAATGCAAGAAAAGTTTGTCACAAAAGTTTGTCAAAATTTTAATATCACCTTACATAATTTTTTAATACAACCCCTCTTAAAATTTGTACAATTTCTTTTTACTCGTGCGGTCGTAAAAATTTTAATCATAAAAAATTCGACTGAAAAATGAGGTACATGTCCAAATAAATGTCATAAACGTCGAAATAAGAGCGGCTAGAAAAATTCGAACCGTGCCGCATAATTTGAAGGTATATTTCTCGAATTCGACAACTTTCGCCGATATTGCAGGGTTGAAGGGAAACAACAACGTTGCTATCGTTTCGTATTCCGATCGCGGGATGGTAACGTCGAAAACAGAGTGGCACGTATCGAGAAATTTAATAAAAGACCGTGTTCCCGTGGAAATGGGTGGAGAAAAGATCGCGATGCGAATACCGTGGCTTTCGTCGCGAAAAACCTTCTGAAGGTTTCCGTGAGAACCGCATCGTAAATTCGCTATGACGTTATCCATATTCCGTTTCCTGTCCGAAAACGACCTTCCATTCTTCCATCGATCGGAATCGCGGTCACTTTTAACAGCGATTCTGGAATGTCCACGCGGTTTATGCTCGAAAAACGAACAAGAACTCGAAGGAATTCTTGGCTTATCCGCGAAAGAGACACAGGACGTTCAATGAGCTCTCGGATAAAGAGACATTAACGATCTTCAGTTTAATAGATTGAACGCCTGCAGAATTTTTTAACAATTAACGCTGTTCGCGCATTAAATTCCTTCCAGCTCCTAAGGGATTAAATTGCCTCGATCCTTCGATCCGTATTTCATTCTGGAATTTATTTCCGACTGAAATACCTGTTTCGATTAAAATTAACCTCTTTTTGTTGCGTCGGAGCAATCGTGCAATATTAAAATAAAAAACTAGCAAGACATATTCAACGATCTTTAATTGCACGAACTGTAACTGGAATTCAAAACCAAACCGCAGAGTAAATTTTTATTATACTAAAACTGTGATGTCCCGAGAATGACTCGAGCCAAGGGGTTAAAACAGTCGTTCCAATGAAACTTCTATAAATATCTCGAATTATGCCCAGCAAATGTTAGAAAGCACAATGATTGTTACAAAGCACAATCATTTTTATAAACGTGAAAGTATTTGTATAAACGTAATAATTATGTACTAATTCGTCGACACCCACGCGAACGTTGAAGTAAAATACGTTGCTGAATTTGTGGACGCAGGTTTGGCGCACGATCTCGGTGTGCGAATAAGAAAGCTCAGGCGAGAGAATCGAGATTGCAATAAGCGAGAAACGTACGTTCATAAAGTTCAGGTAAGCGTATGCTTGTAAAGGAGAACATGGATCGGCGAAAGTGAGATTTCATCTTTACGTGGCCATTCGGCGAGCGGTATTTCACGGTGAACAAGAGCTTCACACCTGCGAGGAACAGGAACTACGTAAGGGATCTACGAAACGTGAGCTATTTATTCTCTCCTCGTGCTTTCGTGGTCGCGAAATTTTTCCAAGAATTTTCCTCTTCGTTGTTGGAAAGCTTCTTAAAATTCTTGCGGTCGATTTATAACTACGCATTCAAACAGCGGGCAACGGCTACGTGATACAACTATGTAAACGTAGCTACAATGCATACTATTCATACTTCCATTACGACATTTTAACCCTTAAATGCATATAGTCGTATAAACGCAACATACCAGTTTTAATCTTATAAATTATATACAAAATGTAGGAAACCTGCAATGAGTAGTGTTGCAGATATGCCACGTACCAATCAAATACACAATAGCGTCATCTGTTCGTTTTAATTTGAATCAACCGCTTTCAAGGTATTTTGTTAGTTGATAACTTTTGGTAAAATTAGAAAATCAAGCATTTAAGGGTTAACCCTTTGCACTCCTCAATTTCTTTTACCTACCGACTCCTTAATTTACAAAAAATATATCAAGACAGGGGTTCTCAGTAAAATGTATTGCAACAGTGCGAAGTACGTGACAAATACATTTTTCATTTATTTTAAATAGTAAATAAATAAAAATATATATATTTAACCAATCTATTTATCTGAATTATTTATAAGATCCAAGAGAAATGTGTTGTCGAGCCACGCTCGACATAGTAGTGCAAAGGGTTAAGAAAGCATTCCATGTTATTTTGATCTTGTTATATTTTAAGAAAATATTTTGCCATGTTTTCATCTTATATTGCCTAAGAGCCGACTAATTTCGCGGTCTTATTTCCCGAGACTTCCAAACTCGAATCGGATTAATTTAACCAAGTGCACGAGCGTGGCAAGGCGTTCGTCAGCCGTAAGACAAGTAAGAAACTGACATCAGAAGTTCTCGAGCAAGTCGACTCGTTCCGCACGAACAAAGTCAGAACCACTGGCCCGAATTGTATCCCCATAGTCAGCAGTACGTAGTTCCGAACGATTCCGTGTAACTAGCCAAACAAGCCCATGGGTGCATTGAACCCAATATATTCCTGGTGTCGCAGAGTTCAAACGATCGGGTCTCAGCTGAGGCTAAGAATAGTAAAACAATAATCTCTCCAGTTGTTTCATAACTGCAGTAATTGAGCAACGGCTGGTATATGAAGGCTCAGATGTGAAGTGTGCATGGATCAATGATTTCCAGGAGTTGTTTCTTGGAATTTGGTATTGGTTGATTTGGTACGTTGGGTCTATTTGGTCTTTTTGGGTCACTGGGGATGTAGGTATGGATTTGAGGGTGAGATCTGAAGTCGTTGGAATTTGGAGATGGGAATATGGAGACGATCGAATTTGGGGACGTGGGAATTTAGGGAAGGTCGAATTTGAGGAGGTTGGAATTTAGGGACGGTCCATTTTGGGGACGTGGGAATTTAGGGACGTTGAGAGTTGGAGATGATCAAATTTGGGGACGATGGAATTTGGGAACGTTGGAATTTTGAGACGTTGGAATTTAGGGGTGGTGGGACAGAGGATGACCGAATATGGGGACGTTGAGATTTGGATTACACTGCAATTTGGGGACGTTGGAATCTGGGGGTGTTGGAAATTGGTGACATTGGAATTTGGGGGTGGTGGGATATGATGAGGACTGAATTTGGGGACTGTGGGATTTGGAGACGGTCGAATTTGGGGACGATGGAATTTGGGAACGTTGGAATTTGGGGACGTTGGAATCTGGGGGTGTTGGGAATTGGTGACATTGGAATTTGGGGGTGGTGGGATATGAAGAGAACCGAATTTGGGGACGTTGGGATTTGGGGACGTTGGGATTTGGAGACGGTCGAATTTGGGGACGATGGAATTTGGGAACGTTGGAATTTGGGGACGTTGGAATCTGGGGGTGTTGGAAATTGGTGACATTGGAACTTGGGGGTGGTGGGATATAAAGAGAACCGAATTTGGGGATGTTGGGATTTGGGAACGTTGGAATTTGGGGACGATGGAAATTGGGAACGTTGGAATTTGGAGACGTTGGGATTTGGGAACGTTGGAATTTGGGGACGATGGAAATTGGGAACGTTGGAATTTGGGGACATTGGAATTTGGGGAGATAGAATTTGGATCACATTGCAATTTGGGGACGTTGGAATTTGGGGGTGTTGGAATTTGGGGACATTGGAATTTGAAGGCGTTAAAATTTTGGGGACGTTGAACTTCTGGGTTGTTGAGATTGAAAGGTGCTGGAATTGGAAATACTGGGACTCCAGGATTTTGGAACACTAGAACGTTTCAATCCTGAGATTTTAAGTTCATACGGCTAACATACACACGCCTAATACCACATGACATATCAAATAACATTGTGCCTAAATAAATTCAGAACCTCGCCATTCTGCGACATCAAGTTGTCAAAACATTGCGATACCGATCTCCAAACCATTTAGTATCTGTCCCTGAGACCCACATATAATAAAAAAGTTAGCAATCGATAGTTTCGAAAGTGCAATCAGTTGCATCAACAACAGGCAATTATCTGAGCTCTTGTAACTCGATCAGATAGCGAATGGAAACAACAGTTCCTTAGTTAGCGATAAGCGATCGAACAAGTCGATAGGACTTGAAAGAAAGTAAGAACGAATTAATTGACAGGCGAACGGTAGGAGGCTTGATGCGATGAAGTCGCCAGTTTGGGGCTGTTCGGTATCACGATATCGGGTTGTGGACCCTCGACGACACAAAAGACTTATCGAGTTTCCCATCCAATCAATGTCACGAGCAAACGTTCATTAACGTTAAGACACGCCTGGTGCTTGTTACAGCAGCAGCCATGATATGACACTCGATTGAGAGGAAGAGCGTGCAACCGACGAGCAGCCAGCATGAGGAAGTTACTGCAGTTTTTGGTGGTGCTATTGTTGGGTGTCAACGCCAGACGAACGGACGCCGACGCCCCGGTGGACGACGCTTACGCTGGTCAGCGTCGCGGTTCCCTTCACAAGTCTAATTACAACAACGGGAACAACAATTACAATCCTCAGTCCAGCTCACCCTATCTGCCGTATCAGCAGCCCAGAGAGAGAAAGCCGAACATTGTCCTGATTCTGACGGACGATCAGGATGTGGAACTTGGTTAGTCACCTTTCTATTTTATATGTTTCGTCATCTGCTTCTCACTTTCTACCAGAGATTACCTTTCAGATCTTCGCTCATTTTCAATTACCTTTCTTACCTTTATTTTCTGCGAATGTAATCGTTGATGAGTTTCAAGTCTCTCAGGTTTTCTTTGTATGCCAGTTATTCAATGATTTTCTAACGAAACGGGTACGGCCATTTTCCTATAAAGTACCATGCTCATGTGGTACATACATGCTCACATGGTATATACATGCTGACATGGTACATACATGTACACATGATACATACATGCTGACATGGTACATACATGTACACATGATACATACATGCTGACATGGTACATACATGTACACATGATACATACATGTACACATGATACATACATGTACACATGATACATACAAGTACACATGATACATACATGCTGACATGATACATACATGCTGACATGGTACATACATGTACACATGATACATACATGTACACATGATACATACATGCTGACATGATACATACATGCTGACATAGTACATACATGTACACATGATACATACATGTACACATGATACATACATGCTGACATGGTACATACATGTAGACATGGTACATACATGCTGACATGCTACATACATGTTCACATGATACATACATGCTGACATGACACATACATGCTGACATGGTACATGCATGTACACATGATACATACATGCTGACATGATACATACATGTACACATGTTACATACATGCTGACATAGTACATACATGTAGACACGATACATACATGCTCACAGTAGTTATTCAATAAATTAGTAACTTCAAGCCATAACCAGGTGTATAAATACTACATGCAGTTCTTATACATATAAGAACAAGAGCACAACAAAGTCAGTGGACATCAAAGAATTAGAATAAAGTATGCCGAATCCATTATTCAGAAAAGTAGTCCGCAGGTAAAAAGTCGAAAGAAACAGATCGAAGAAAGCGGATGACCGAAAACGCGATCTGAGAGCAGGCCAACCCCTCTATCTTTCAATCCGACCCGACTATTTTTCGAAGCATCTCTCTGATGGTCCGTTGCGGTTGGTCCAATCCCTCAGGTTCGCTGAACTTCATGCCACGGACCCTAAGGCGAATAAGGGACGAGGGAGCCGAGCTGAGACACGCATACGTAACCACTCCCATGTGTTGTCCGAGCAGGAGTTCCTTACTGACCGGCCGTTACGTTCACAATCACGAGGTCTTCACGAACAACGACAACTGCAGCAGCCCCCAATGGCAACGAGATCACGAGCCGCACTCGTTCGCCGCTTACCTGAGCAACGCTGGATATCGTACCGGTGAGTACTCGCCCTATGAACCACTTTTCACCCCTCTTGATGCGGTTTTTGCTGTCCGTTCGGTAAAAAGAGACAGACTTCTTTTTTGAATTAGGTGTGAAGGGTTTTATTGTCGATGGATTGCCGAGCGTTCTATTGCCACGTATTAGGTCACATATTCTATTGATAGCCCGTATGCTATCTATGGCTTTGCATCGACGTATGCTGAATTAATAATGCGACGATAGTGTGTTATGTGACAATCAAGTGTGTCATTATGTAGAATCGCAAGGCGTTGTACCGGTGAATTCCTAGTTATTGTGCTATTACACGTGCGTTGTATTGCGTTCATTATGCGTTGTACGATGCGCTGAATTTCCATGCGTTGTGTCACAGCGTGATGCATTACTATGCGTTCTATCATGACGCGTTGAAGTCACAGCGCACCGAAGCACTATGCGTTGTACTACGACATGTTGAAGTACTATGCGTTGTACTACAACGCGTTGGATTTGCAACGCGCTGAATTGCTACGCGTTGAATTTGCCATGCGTTAAATTACTGCGCGTTGAACTCACAGCGCGCCGAAGCACTACGCGTTGTCCTACGACGCGTTGAATTTGCAGCGCGCTGAATTACCACGCGTTGAATTTACTACGCGTTGAATTTACCACGCACTGAATTACCACGCGCTGAATTACTGCGCGTTGTACTCACAGCGCGCCGAAGTACTACGCGTTGAGTTTGCAGCGCGCTGAATTACCACGCGTCGAATTACTGCGCGTTGTACTCACAGCGCGCCGAAGTACTACGCGTTGTATTACGACGCGTTGAATTTGCAGCGCGCTGAATTGCCACGCGTTGCACTACGGCGCGTTGAAATTACAACGCACGGAATTACCACGCGTTGAATCACAGCGCATTATATCACGGTGCGCTGAATCACTACGCGTTATGCTACGATGCGTTGAATTGCCACGCGTTGCGTTACGACGTATTGAACTCCTACGCGTTGTGTCACGATGCGTTGAATTCGCAGCGTTGTGTCACTATGCGTTGTACCACAACTCTATGAATTCACCATCCCCCCATTGTATTACAAACTAAAATATTGGTCCACCAAGATCATAAGAAACGAGAGACTCCAAGAGAAAGAAACACAGATCTAAAGTTCAGATGACCTCTTACCCTTGATAACTAAGGTTAGGGGTTTTTCATCACGACTCTCATGAAAACAAGCTTATTCATAATAAACATTGAGTTGTCCAAGACAGATAAGAATGCCCAGTGATCCGCGAGGGTGCCACAGTATCGTCGAGACGATAATTTAGACAATTTGTAGTTGTCAACGGTGCGTTTAGTCGCGTCGAGATTCCAGCAGAATAATTTATTACTTGGCATTCTTCTACTGAGATATACACGGATCAGGGAATTTGCTGTTCGTTCAGGATTACTGGACGAAGAGCTTCGATTTGTATTACGTCATTGTACGCATTCAGTGACCCGTGACAGAGAGAGAGAACATCTGGGTAACTTTAATTGAAAAAAGACTTCTACGCGAGTGTAACGCTCTGCTCCTCGCTCGTAATTGGAGTCAAGTACGTTCGACGCGATAAATCCTTGTTGCATAAGCAATTACCGTGGACACGAGTCAAGTTGTTGCATTAGTGCTCCTTTTTTACTTGCTCGTGAAACAAGGGGTCGAAAATCTTATCTTTCATCTGATCAGACATATCTTTTCCTTTGCAATTTCATTTTTTGATCGCTTTCGCGAGTGTACAGTCCATAACAAGTTTAAATAACTCTGAAGTAAAACTTGTTTGTTCAAATAAAGTTACACTTGTTTATTTCAAATATATTGGCAGGTAAAATAGTCTTAGTGTTCGTACTATCTGAACGCCTATGTTTTAAATAATTAACTAACACAATTCAACAAAACCTGTAAAAGTTAACAGTCTCCACCACAAAATCAAACTTCAAACTTTCATTTCATCCACATTTTCGATCACGACTTCGAACATAAATTTCCATGAATAATCGGCCGGCCATCAAGTCACTCACGGCATAAACAGCGACGTAAAAAGTTTCATAAGCGCACCGGGTTACGAGGCAGACCCAAGTTCAGGACAATTATAAAGTTTCGATGCGTGTCATCCCGAAAACATGGATTGTGGCTACCTGGCGAGAGCGGTGTTTTACCACAGGCCCAGGATACGTCGTGATTCTCGTTCCTCGACCATAATTACGTGCCAAGCGAGACACTCGAACCCGCTCGAGGCCGGTGCAACCAATATGGCAATGGATTCCCGTAGAATTCTCGAGCTTCGATCTCGCCGGGCGAGTTCCAACCACAATTGTGTCCTTCTCCCTTTATGGCCGTTCCTCTGACCTTCTTACGTTTGTCCAAATCTTGTCTACTGTTTGTGAATCTTGTTATGACTCAGTCATGACTGAGGTGGATTCATGAATGCAAGGATTAAGGTTTACGGGGATGATTTTTTGAGGTTAGGAATTTTTTCATGGGACGTGAAATTATTCTTCGTTTTAAATCTGTAGCTAGATAGATAAATCGTAGGAGGGTAGACAAGGCAATGTTAATATCTACATATATGATTTTTGGTTGAGGGTTGGCTGTAAAAATAAAATAACCCTTGAAGAGGTTGAGAGAAATACAGATGTGACATATTTTACACATATAGACATGCAAACAGTTCGGTTAGAAACTTGTCCTAATCTATATATATGATTTTTGATTGAGGATTGGCTGTAAAAATAAAATACACGTCCACATATGTAACCCTTGAAGAGGTTAAGAGAAATACAGATGTGACATATTTTACACATACAGTCATGCAAACAGTTCAGTTAGAAACTTGTCCTAATCTACACATATGATTTTTGGTTGATGATTGGCTGTAAAAATAAAATACGTCCACATATGTAACCCTTGAAGAGGTTAAGAAAAATGTAGATGTGACATATTTTACACATACAGTCATGCAAACAGTTCAGTTAGAAACTTGTCCTAATCTACACATATGATTTTTGGTTGATGATTGACTGTAAAAATAAAATACACGTCCACATATGTAACCCTTGAAGAGAAATGAAGATATGATACATTTTACACATACAGTCATGCAAACAGTTCAGTTAGAAACTTGTCTAACTTGTCCTAATATCTTTCTAATGTATCGCAGACTAAATCATACTTAATACATTTCATACTAGAAGTGTTAGCTGAAGTAACGATAAGAACGTGGGATCTCAGCGAGCATCGATCGGTCATAAATTTGGGAAGTTGATCGAATTGTTTGCATTGTTCGTTGGTCACGGTGTTCGGAACGATGCGTGGCTCTCATGGCGTAGCGATGGGCACCCTCGACGCACGAGGAGGCTCAGCGCGATACAATTACCGGGTACACAAGGTCTGGACGTAATCACGGAGAGCAGTCGAAAACGGGGAATGCAATTTTACGCTTCGAGACTTTATTACTTGGGAACATAAATTCCGAACATTTACTCAATTAGTTAATTAGTATGTTTATGTACCGTATAGGGTTCTGCGAGGTTTAATGTAAATACGCTTGAAAATTAATTAATCTGTTAAGTGAATTGCTGGGAGTGACCTACATCCCTTTGCCGAGCTGTGCTTGTGTTATCGATGCACGAACTTTCAGGTTTTTCGATATACAGTTCTGGCTAAAAGTTTGTTCGCTGATTTCCGGGAAAGTTTCGTTCGCTAAGTTTTACAGATTTTACCTGCATTAACAACCTTATAATCGTAAATTAGCCATAATCATTGGTCATAATCCTGAGATAGTCGTAAATTATTTTGATCATTACGGTCTAAACGGGATTTATGAAACGAATGATCGCAGCTGGTAATTTTTTCTAATGGATTGTCGAAGACTGCAGAATAATATCGAGAATAATTTGGAGTCCAAAGATGTTGAGTGTTCTGCAAAGTAGGCTATCTGTATTTCGTCTTGACAGCGGAGGTGCAAAGAGGGATGACGGGAATTTAATCAATTATCACGAAGTAGGACTTAAAAGTCTTTCCCATCCGACAGTTCCCGAACACTTTATTCTCTCATTGTCAGATAAATTTAAAACGAAAGGCAAATATCTCGGTCCGGTCGAGAGAACAGGTTTCCCTCGGGGAAGCTATTTTTCCTTTCTTCTTCGATTCTCGTCGCGGGTCTGAACAATCGTTTTCACGCGAACGAACATTGGCCGTTGAAATCGACGGCCAATAATCAGATTCGTCGAATTCTAGCTACGAAATAACCAACATTCCGAGCCAGGTATCGATCGATTCGGTACCCTACGGATCTCGTTGTTTGCCTCGAAATTTCTGCCCGGATCGTTTTCAGACCGCAAAAAAGGTGTCTGTAAACACCTGCAGCTGACGGGGAAGCCTCCTCGAAAAAGAAGCAGGGTTGAAGCCTTACCGATGATTCGAACGAGATAACTCCAACGCCCCGAGTGAAATTGCAAAAAGACCGAACCGTCGCGCGGTGTCGAGAGTGTTCCTCGATGCGTTTACCGAAGAGTACGAAGCTGGCGAACGATGAGTCGTTAAACGACCGATTCAGCCTTTTTAATCGCTCGTTACCGATCATCAGCCGCCCTTTCAAAAATCCTGACTCTAGCCTCGAGTCTACCCTACCGGTACCGGGCTGAAGGAAACCCAACGTCTTTCAATCTCGCAATTTGAAAGTTCAGGCACTTAGAAACATCAAACTTTATATAGTAGAAAAAACCTATAACCCAAACTCAATGAGGTCCCATTTACAGTGGAAAGTAAGAGAAAATAAAGCTGATATCGCAAATCCATATACGTAGCCAAGCAGGAGTCTGGTTATTGACCCTCGGTTCGTTAAAGGCGGTTCGCATATCGCGTCTACGGGACAGATCTTGTAAATTAGACCAGAGGCTCTCGTATCTCAAGCGCGGAGCATGCATAGATCCTGTAGCCGGCTATCTCGCCAGGAGATTATTCGCGAAAGCGAGCGATG